GGTTCATCTTCTCCACTCTGATCAGAAAACAGTTCTCACTTCTCTAATGTTCAGAAACCTTCTGCTAGTTCACTGCCTAAATTTATTCTTAGCTAATATTTATACTATGATTGCTGCTAAAATAGCTACAAAGTCAAAAGTATAATAATTTACAGAACTTGGACTCTGCAGACTCAAAGGACTAAGTCCTAGTCTGTCAGCAGCACAGGGGAAACTTTCCCAGGATCCACCAGACATATTGCTGCTTCCTCCCCCTGAAAATAACCAGAATATTTCAGTAACAGTAAGAGGCAATTTCCAGTCGCAGTATTTGTAATTACAGGCTCAGTCAACTTATCCTTGAAATTCTACAAATGTAGATTTATATTCAGAGGGGTGGGTTTGGGGTTGTGTGGGGTTTTTTTGTTTGTTTGTTTGTTTTGTGGGGTTTTTGCTTGGTTTTTGTGTGGTTTTTTTGTTTTGTTTTTTTTTTAAGTAAACCTCTTTTTAATGAGAGATGATCTACACCTCAAATCCAAGGAAAAAGCTGAAAGAGTTTAAATCAACGGACAAGCTTTTTGTCAGACATGTAAACTAACAACTAGTTTAAGTGTAGCCCAAAAGCTAGAGATTTTATATAGCTATAGCTTAATTATTAATTAGTGGATTATCTGTTTTGTAAAAAGCCACAAAATGGTTGCAGAATACCTCAACGAAGCTGGATGCACAGAGGTAAACACATATCCAGCAGGTCTCAACAGCTCAGGCACAATGACATGACAAACAGCCATCCTGCTCTCAAGGTTAGTTGGGGTACTGATTCTATACATATATTTTTTTTTCCCCCCATTATCTGCACTTTCCCCATCACCCCACACAATGTAGGCAGGCTGCACAAAATCAGTATGCAAACCATAGCCCCATGCTACAGTGAATCAAACGCAATACAGACACAATTTCATGCAACTTCAGCAATACTGTAGCACTTTCCCAATCAAGATTAAAAGAAAAGTTATCCCCACTGTGTATCGCTTTCTAGCTCTCCTACCGACTTCCTGGGGCTCCCACATGTATGGATCTACTCCACCATAGCTGAATGACTCATATCGTTCCTGAGATCCAGAATCAGTTCTGTCATCTCCTTCTCGTTTCAGCAATTTCTTCTTTGCTCTTTTGGCCTTCTGGACTAGATCTGAAAAAGATAAACCCAAGTTATCAAACGTGGCAGGTAGTCACCGAATATTTGTCACGTGAAACCAGTATGGAATATTCCTCATCTTTTAGCACAAGTCTTTTTCCTTGATGACAAGTTTATCCTCAACACGTTCTGTTTAGAACCAGAATGCGGTTCAGAGAATCACAGATGACAGGAAATGCTTTGTTATCTATCATAAAGTAGCACTAAGGTCCTAATGACAAAACAGTAGTTTTAGACACTCCATTCAGGGACTTCACTGTAAAACAGTAAGCTATCTTAAACTATGAGACCCGTTTCACAGCATTCTGGGACACCATACAGATATCATCTTAATTCTCTTAATTCCCAATTATTTTCTTAGGATTCAAGGATGTTCAACACTTTCTTTGCCTTATTGCACAAACTAAGAATTTCAGTATGCTTGTACACCTAAATAATTTCAAAAAGTACTGAACAGCCCACTGCATTATCTCATATGAACGCTAGTGAGGGGAGGGCAGTCTCCCGGGCCAAAACCAAAAAAACTTTGGAACCAGGAACTTGAAACTTCGGAGCTTTTATTGCCCTTGCCATGTTCCTCTCTGGATGCTAGCAGAAGTTGAGGGCACTACTTTTCTTGCCAAACACATTCAGTACCTCCTTGAACTAGATCTTTTATATATCAAGCTTTCTAACAAGCTGCTGGGAACCATGAGTTAGCATGCCCTTTCATATTTCTAATTTTCTTATTTAGCTTCCAAAACACTGGAACTGCCACCTTGACCTTACTGGAGTCTGTCTCCCCGCCAAGCTTCAGCCACTAAGGCTATGCCAGCAGGCCCCTCATGCAGACATCATACTTCCTAGCAGTTTTTGAGCTGCTGAAGTTATGCTACCTCCCAAAATGACACACAGTGATATAACACACACTTCTCAATAAAACTGTGTCAGGTTGGCAAGGGCTTTGCTAGCATTGTAACATCATCTAAGAAATAGGATTACTCCTCCCCCCACCTACTCTCAAGCCAGCATAACAAATGCCAGCTAGACACTGCAGTTTCTTAAGTGAAGTTTACACTATCTAAATAGGAAATATATTTGCACTCGAGACTTTGAAAGTCCGACATACTCAAAAAGAAGTAGGGATGCCTCATGGCTTTGCCACAGACACAAAAGCTTTTCAAGCAAACTTTATAATCTTGTTTGCCATGAAGTCAGACTTGACCACCTCAGTATGACTCAACTGAAGTAGTAAGGTGATTTGTAAGCATTTCTAGAACTCCACAATTAGGACAGCTGGAGTTCAGCACAAAGTCATGCAACCACTTGTGATGCACAGTTTGAACACTAGTCCCTAAAACGGGTAATTTAAATAGGTGATTCTGTTGGCTTTCCTTCTTCTAGAATGGACTTCACTGGATAGACCTTGACATGAACAACTAGGACAGAAACTAAGCAGACAAAACCAACATCCTTTATGCAAGAATACATATGCGAGACAGACAGCCTGAGAAGCCACAGTACTTTAGTTTAGATTAAAAGAACACTAGAGAACAAAATCAAAATGCAGGTGTTTTGTATTAAATAAAAGAAGTGTTTGGGAAATCTTACCAAGCCTAAGTTATTGTTGTTTTCTTTCCTCTTATCACAGTGAGAACCATATTGTTGTTCTGGTTTAAACGCTCCACGGAAGCATCTGTGATTCAGCTATTACAGCACTGTACCCACGATGAGAACATGACTGCAGTACTGACCAGTCTACCTTCACTGTCCAAGAAGAGCACAGTGCTAAGAGCCAAGAAGTAGCCAGACTGATGGAAAGCAACTTAAAGATTCATGGAATATTCAGCTGTGCTACCCTTAAGATAGGCTTGTTAAGAACACAAACTTTTCACTGAGAAAAGAGACTTTTGAAGTAATAATCATCAATCGCAGGAAAAAAAATAAGGGGGGGAAGAGTAAAAATTAAAGACTGCCAGGCCACTATCTCTAGTATAATAAACCAAAACCAGAAAGATTTGTTGCAGGGAACACACAGAATTATCACCATTTTTTGCATATTTTTCTCTCAATGTAAAATGACACTGTGTAGGCAAGGGGGGTAAAAAAGAGAAATATTTTAGTTAAGCAGAATTCAAAGGGATTTTTGAAACACCAGTAAAAGTTGGTAATCCACAGCACAACCCTGGGACACTCCCAGCATCTACTGCCAGCTCCACCACCCACATTCTTTTCCATCTTTTCCCACCAACAACCTTCCTTAACTTTACAATTTAACTGCGACTACAGTTTTATCTACTGTCAAAACAAGGGATTAATGAATTGGCACCTGGCAAGTACCAGAGATTCCCCCTTTTCTGTAAGGCCTTCAAGTAACGCTTGGGAATTCATCTGGGTTACAGTATGAATCGGAGTTTTCAGATAAAAACAAACAAACAAACAACCCCAAAAGGTCAATAACAAAAATCATGCATAAAATCAGACATTTGAAGAGCGATGTCTTTTAAGCGCCTCCTTTAGAATTTACTTATTGAAAGTATCATGAACAATGTAAAAATTATGCCTCGGCCTAAAGTAATTTATACAGAAACGGAGCCCACCCCATACCTCACTTCAATTAATATTTCAGCATTCCTAGACATTTTGAGAGAGCTCGCAGTACAAGCAGCTCGTGTCGTATGGAATTTTACATGGCAAAACCGAACGCATTAAAACAGCTGTCGTGCCTCTTACTTTTGAGCTGTCCTTTGACATCTCTGTCCTCACTTGAGTGCTCGTCTTCATAGTGCGACTGAAGCTGATAGAAAGACTGGAGGTCCTTCAGGCAAAGGGGGCACAAAAAGCCTTCCCTCGTTTCCCCCGGGTCACCGAAGGCCGGCGGACAGCCGGATGCCATGGCGGCCCGGCCGCTGGCGGACAGCGCCCGCTCCCCGATCTCAGCAGCAGCGCAGCAGCGCGGGGCGCGGCCGCCTCGCGGGGACGAAGCGCGGGGGCGGCATCGTACCTAGCGGCTTTCGGCAAGAAAC